CCCATTAGACTATCCATGGCCATAAAGGACCAATAACTGCTGTTGCTTTTGCTCCTGATGGACGGTATCTTGCCACTTATTCCAACACAGATAGCCATATCTCCTTTTGGCAGGTAAGATTATGCACCTAATGCAAAGATGTATGCAAATAATGCTAGTACTGTAGGTGGGACCACCTTTGAATTTGTACAACCAACACTTTGGACTTCAAAAAAGAAATGTCATTATAGTACCAATATAGCCTCCAGTAAAGGACACCATAAGGTATTATAGTCTCTTAAAAAATTACTATCAAAATCAAGAAATTACAAAATTTAAAGTTGAAATAAAAGCATACGCTCAGCAACTTTCACCGGTGATTTGTGTGCTGCTGTGCGTCTCCCCACAGCTCTTTTTTCTTGCTTTCCCTTCTTTTATTTCCCTACTAATTTTTTCTCTCTCTCCTTCCACGCATGTGCAAATGTGTACACACACACACACACACACACACACACACACACACACACACAGGCACATCCACAAAGGTAACTAGATCCCAGTTCATGAGGCTCTCATTGAACCTCAGTAGAATGCAGGTTTCTCCTATAAGTGTATAAATGTGCATGAATAAGCAGTTTGGACTGCTATCTGTATATCTAGCTTGGGTGCTTATGTATTTCCTGTTACCAGAGCGTTATCTGAACAAGTGGGAATCTTTTAAAATTTAAAATGGGAAGTTACTGTTTCCCCTGTGTGCAGAGGCCAGTTGAAGCACAGATTCTTAAGTGAGTTTCCCAAGAGAGAAAGCTAGGTGGGGGGATAGTTGTATACCAGGGGGTCCCAAATTTTTTATGCCGTAGCCCAGCAGTCACAGCTGACCACGGCTGGAATTTTAGGCTGGAAGACGGGTAAGGATAACCCCAACCCCCAGACGGGGGAGTGGGCCAAACCCTGTGCTGCCACAGGCCCTGCAGAAGGAGCCGCGGCCTCTCCGCCCAGCTCTGGGAGGCCACATTTTGCCAGTCCATGGCCACTTCCAGTCTGGCAGCCGACTGTGCTGCAGACCAGCAGCCGACCCACTGGGGTGTAGCCTGGGGATTGAGGAACCCTGTTGTATACTATAACCATCATTTATGCCTAACATGTCCTTCATTTTTACATGTAAAATTTGTGTAGTGCTAAATGAAAACACTACATTGGCATAAATATAAAAACGATTGCTCTGGAAATGAGTGGGCCTGATCACATAGTTCAGACAGACAAATACCTATCTATGTTGATGGGAGTTTTTCTAGCATTTGGACATCAACACTGGACCCAGTATGCCTTGCAGCTTGCATTTAATATTTTTTAATCTGCTACCGCAATTGTCTGATGTTATTCAGTAATTCTGCATATGCCATAACAATTACTGAACTATCTTCCACCACAATATACTCCCATTTCTGAAACAAGGAATTAGATTTGCAAGGATGTTCAACAGTCGGTTGCAGGTATTTGGTTTAACTGCTCAGGAGGATGGGAGAAGCAATTAGATTTATTGATTTTAATCTCGTACCTGATCTTTTAAAATTAACAAATAAATAATCTCCATATGCAAGCACGAGTTGAAAAGTGCAAATTGCTTGATTTTTCTAGTGTAAATCCATTCATGTTAAACTATCTGTTACATAAAGAGTTAAATGTACCTACACATTTAGTTTTAAAATGTGACCTCGTGCACTAGTGATTTTTTTCCCTCTGTGTTCTATTCGGCACTATTATTAATGCAGGAAAATCAGTAACATTAGTCATCTTAAAAGGGTTATTACTCAAGATGATTTAAATTGTGAAAATGTCAGTAGTGCTTGCATGCTCCCTGCTAGAGATGCCATGATTTACACTCTCTGACACCATTCTGCTGCTGAGAAGGACCAGAAAAAGTAATGGTTTATATTTTGTACTGATCAGAATTCAGAACATGAAATCAGCAATAACACATCTTAAATGTCCAAAGATTTGCCAAGGTTTCAAGCGACAAGGTTTAGGCATAGAGCTGGACCATTGTCTACCTGTTTTTCCCAAGATACTAACACATTTAGATAGAGAGGTTTCCAAGAACATGCAAGCATTTAAGAGCGTGTAAAGTTGTGTCAAATAGGGGAGGGGCCCTCTTTTTTTTTTTTAACAAAATTACATAAATGGGAAGCCCATAGATCAACAGTTCTCCTTTAAAAGTTTAATCTCATAATATTTTGTTTATATAATGGAATATAAAGCTTGCTTTATTATCTCTTTAAGAGCATGGACCATTCCTGTTGTTTTCTACAGCTAAACTCCGTGATCTAATAGGTCTCTAAGTTTTGTGATTTAACTAGTTAAGATATATTCCAACAGAAGCATATGATTCTTAGCAATTATGATTTTTTGATGATTCAGTTTGAAGCACAATTTCATGAAATAATATAAAAAGTATTGATACGCTCAGTGAATAAAATTCATGTACAGGTTTACTGTACAGGATAAAATTTGTTGTAGAGTCAAGCTAATTTCTTGATTCAGATCTTGTCATTTTAATATGGAGTAGAGAAAATGAAAGGAAACTGATTTTTTTAAAGGCTGTAAAGCAAACTGCAAGGTAGAAATTACCACTAATTTTGCTGTTAAACTTTGAGTCTAGGTCCTGATGCAGAGCCTAGCTTACAAAAGCTTGATTCTATTTTATTTTTGTTTAGAATTTTTTTTTAAGTCAATTTGGCCTTGCCTTATAAGGGAAAAAAGGGAGGAGATGTAACTCTCAAATATACCTGTAAAAATGTTCCTTAAGATAATATGTAGTCTAGACATCATCTGTATTAAACTGACTTTATAAACTCCTCATCAAAAGCAAGCAGTAAACTGAGTGTTACTAAATTTAGCACAAGTTTCATTTTGAAGCCTGCTGTGGAGAGTTAATTAAGCAGAATCAAACATTTTTGAAGCGTACGGGTTAGATTCTCAGCCTCCCACTAGTTTAAATAACATCACTGTTTGAGTAAGTTAAATGAAACTTAAGTGAAAGGTCATATGAGATAGCAGCCGTGTAGCTGGCACTGGCCAGAATTGGCACAAGTTTTCCAAAAAATGACAAACTAAAAAGACTTTGTTTCCCCTTAGCTTGCTTTATATATATAAAGGAACTTGTTGACTTTAGTCTGGACTCTGTTTTCTGTAACTGCAGATGAACACCTCTCTCCTGGGAAGTATTGGAATGCTGAATTCGGCACCCCAGCTCCGCTGCATTAAAACATACCAGGTGCCCCCTGTCCAGCCTGCCTCCCCTGGCTCACACAATGCACTCAAACTGGCCCGGCTGATCTGGACTTCTAATCGCAACGTTATTCTCATGGCTCATGATGGCAAAGAACATCGATTTATGGTCTAGGGTCAGTCTCTTACTAGAAATACATTTTTGGTTTAATATTCCCTGTAATTTTCTCTTTCTTTGTCCTGTTAACGCCGGATTACCCACACCAGTGCCTACGTAAGTCATCCAGTGGAATCAGCCAGACTGCAACATTTCTGCATGGTTCTCTAAACCAGCTTGTGCCAGCTGTGGATTCAGAGGCATGCATGCCAGCTCAACAGTACATAGTTATTCTGTCACTGGGTAGGTTTGCCTAGCTATTGATAGGAGGGAAGATGATGGCTATTGGGGATGCTCCTGTTGCTCAGTGCAACAGAAGCTTAAAAATCAGTAACACTGTGATTGCACTCCTTGACTAGATCAGCACATTCAAGAATCAAAATCCCAGTTTTCGAGGTTGGGCTGAATCTAGTCACTTTTCCATTGGAAGTTAAAGTAAGGCACCGTCCCTAACTATAAATATTATTTTCCTTTTCAGTTTCTTAAAGAGATTTACTGTTTACCAAAAAAAGGTTGTGTGTTTACATGTACTTTCTTTGAGTGATTGCTTGAAGTGGTCGCTGGCATACATGTCATAGGGTTTACCAGTTGGCTCCTTGATGAGGGTCTAACCGGTTTGAGATTCATGAGAACGTTCATGAGGAACTGCATTTTTATGACAGAGTGATGTATTTTCATTTTGAAAAGGCATGCGTCTTCAGAAAAAGTTCAGGTTCATTAAATTGGAAGTTACTGTTTCTTGTGGCCTGGAAGAAAGTGTGATCAGTCCACACGTAAATAAAGAGAATCTCTTAAAGAGGAAAGGACAAACTTGAAAAGTATAATACTGATACACCAAGGTCTTTTTCTGAGTTCCCTTTGCAGCCACTGCAGGTGTTTGTTTCAGAAAAAGCGTTCTTCTTCCCAAAGCAGCTTCCATTTCTGCTGGATCTTCCAAGGAAGGTATAATCCTGCTTTTGTTCCAGTACATCCTATTACTGCATAAATTATTGTAGTGTCACAAATTGCAAGTTTAGCTTTACTGAAGGAACACAGGGAAAGAATGCAAGCACTTATGGGATTGAGCAGATATCACTACTATTTAGCAACCCAGACTAGGAAAATTTTGGAAATTATTTTGAACGATATTATTTGAATAACATATATATTAGCATTTCCCCCAATAAATGTATTCCTTTGTAATGGAAGCTCTAACTGTTCATGTTTTTTCTGTTTTTACATATCTACATTTTTTAAATATTTACTAGTGTGAATATATATTCTGGCTTATGCTAACAGGAAAAAATCCATAAAATACAATTTAATTTAAACATGTGGATGTATATGTTTGTATAGGTTTTATTTTCATTCCATTTTGTCTGGAAAGCTTGCAGAAGAGAAAAGGCACTCATTCAATTATAGCTTGTAAAGTAAAAGTAGTATTTGCAGGAAAAAGAGGAATAAATTAATTTTTTAATGGCTTCTAAAATGCTTTGTGGGTTTGTTTTTTGGGGGACGGGGGTCGTGTTTTGTTTTGGAGAAGTTAGTCTGTTTAGTACACTGTACAGGAAAGTAGGATATACAGCCCAGAATCAGCATATCTGTTGTTTACTATAGTAAAAAAATAAATAAAAATTTGACCATTTGGAATGTCACATCATTGCTGTAAATTTTATTCTTTCTAACTATGGCCACAATGTAGTTTCTAGTGGTGGTAAAATACTGTAGTAGGACTTAGATTTTTTTAATGTGAGTTTATGCAACATGCATGTATATTGTATTTATAACAATATAAATGTATATGTAGCCTCAAAAACAGGAAGCAAAGACTTTCAAGTTACACAGTGACTTTTTGCCTTAGAGTCAGATATTATAGTGCTATGTTTTTAAGTATAAGCATATGAGGAAAATTAAAAGGTACCCATCATGCATTCCTCCCTAGGCATTCCACTCATATTTACTTCTCTTACACTTTTTTTTCAAGCACATATGTGTTTACTTTCAAAACTGAGATGCAGTTACAGGAAAAAATGGATACATTCCACTATGCCACAAAAAAGATTTTCTTTAATACAGTAAAGGGTAGCTTACATTATATGTACATAAAAGTGGTTGTTTAAACTACAACTTTACTGGATCAGAAAAAAGAAAAGAAAAATGCCTGTCTGCTTCCATACTGAAAAGCTCAAGGTAGCAAAAGTTAAAAAATAAATAAGCTAAATTTTCAGAAGATTAAGACAACTAGTATTAGTGTCTAATGTGTTGTATCTATAAGACAGTGAAAATTGCAATTCGTTCCAATATGTCCATAAAAGCAGCCAAGATTGCAATTCAGTCAGATTAGTGTTACTTGGCCAGGGACTAGAGGAGTGCTTGTGGGGCAGAAATCTCTACCTGTTTAACAGATATTTGCATATTAGTTAAACACAAATCTCCACTTTGGTGACCTTGTAAAACCTAGTCCCAAACTTCATCGCAGTTTAGATCTCTCAGTACTGCAGTAAAATGTGTATTGTCATTCCAGTGTAAGCTTTTAGTGTTTTATTGATTTGTTAGTACTGTATTTGGGCTTGTCCTTGTACATGTAGAGACGTATGTGGCTTCATTGGCAGTTGACAAGCAAAAATGACATGATGAGACACCTCTATGAAAATGTTGTAATGATTGAAGTCACTGTATATGGTAAATGATTAAAATGTCTGCCTCTCAAGAAACTTCTTGATAATTCCACTTCAAATCTACTGTATGTACTAAATGTCCCTGTGTACATATGTGTGTGGAATAAAACAGAATGGTATTGAAGACTATTGCTCCCATACAATCATCTTAACTTTGTTATGGTTCTCCCACAAATGCATCACTTGCCGATGCACCTTTGATATTAACTGTATTATCATCATGTATGGAAACTTTTTTTTTAACCTTTTTATGAAGCTTATAGTTCACTCAAGAAGACAGAGCTCCTCAAGAGACTCAAAGCCTCCTTAGCGAAAAGGAAGTTAGAAATGCACTGAGAGAAAGTGGTTCTCTTATTTTTTTTCATAAGAAGCACGATTCAACCAAATAAAGAAAACGTCGGTCTTTTGGAACCTCAATACTGCCCTCTGTAGTGCATGTAAAGTCATGCCGCTGCCTTGATAACCAGTCCTAGATCCTTTCTAAGCGGGGAAGTAATTGAACCAAATTGTTCATTGAAATTTTCTGACCTGAACTGCTCTCCCTTGGGGACTGAGCTGCATTTATTAAATGTATTAAATTTCATATAATACTTTGTTTGGGATTAAATTGGTAACCCCATAGTAAAAGAGTACCATTGCTTTTGAGCAAGAAAAACAACATAGATAATTATTGCTTACAGAGGTTTATGGCGTAAGCAGTTAATTTAATCTTTCCCTTGGTGTTCAGATAAAAAGATAGGGAAGTTTGAATTGAGTCAATCATTATATAACAAGACTTTTTTTCTCTTTAAATAAACATAAAAAAGAAGATTGCAACATATTTGTGTCCTCAATTTTCAAGGTATGTGAATGTGTTAAAATAATTGATGACTTAAATATTTTTCTTATAGGTAAAATATGCTCAGTAGCAGCTCTATTGGTGATCACATAAACTGATCAAACGTGGAAAGGGCATGACATTAATAGGAAGGTAAAGCCAGGCAGTGCTGGATGAACTTTCACCTTTCACCTCTTCAGCTGACAGACATAGCTGAGTGTTGAAAAATCAATACTTAGGAGCCAGGAGGGAAATATTTCCAACCTCTAACTAGAGAATGTATTTTGACAAGGCCAAGATAATCCAAGCAGCACAGGAGAAAGAGAAAAGAAGACTCATTTTTAAAGCTTGACACTTCAAGGTGTTTTTGTACAATGGTTTAGAGAGAGCATCGATACATACAAATACCAAAGGTCAAAAAGAAAAGCCAGAAGAATTTCAAAAATTAGATGTACTGTTTCTTTGCTGTTTACTTTACAACATAAAAAGAGAATAGTTAGATTTAGCTTTTGCAAATTTACTTTAAATATAGTGATCTCAGAATTTACCAACTCTTCCTAATGTAATAGAAATTAGGAAGTACCAGAAGTCTGTCTTTTGCCTTAAGCAATTTAATTTTGAAGAACATCTGCTTACTGCCTGCTACACACACGTACTCAAGCACGTTAATTGTTTATGTTTTGGCATGATTTCTTCTGGATGCAAAATGATCACTATTGTTTCATCTATGCAGAAGTCTACTTTTGAGGGGTGTGTGCATAATTTAATCTCTGTTCTTACACTCGATGAGTATTGTAGGAAATAGACTTCTTTGCAGTGCTTCTTTTACCAAAACTGCTAGACTCAGGTTATGTTTCTGCAGAGCTGTAACTGAGAGGTAACTAAAGCTCAGCAAAGCACAATGTGCTTCCTGTTTGTGTTTGGAGCTGTCTTGGGTACCAGAAGCAGTCTAGATCAGCATAATGTTCTGTGCAAGATTATTTATCCTGCTTCTTTTGTGACATGGGCTATGGTAACTAATACCGAGTACCTGCACTAGTGCATACACACCTGAACATAGACGTACTCTTAACTAACTAATTCGGGCATAAGAAACACTATAAGAATTTTACCATATTTACGTGAATACAAGATAAGGTTTTTCCCCCCAAATAGTATGGGGAAACAAACTATGAAGCTAATTAAATGCAGCCAGCAATGAGCGTGACCATAAAACACATGGCCGACACTGGGCAAACAAGCTGATGTGAACTTTTTGGTGTGTGTATGTTAAAAAAAAAATGGGGAGTGGAAGGAACAAGCACTGGACCTGGAGGTACTGCACTACCAGGCTGGCACTTGGAGAGGCCAGAACAAGCTCCAACACCCTTTGGCGGTGCCAGAAATGCTCATGGAAACCCTTTCTTCGGCCCTTAAAAATGGATAGTTATTCCCTTCATAGGAAAATGGCCTCAGACTTGGAGATATTGCAACACCAGGCCAACAGAGCTAAGCATAAGCAAGACTCGGAGGCATCTGAACACCAAGACCTCCAGGCTTAGGGCCTGCATGTAGGATGCCTGCCATGGAGTATCTGAACTCCCAAGTTGAAGAGTCTGTGAGGGAGGATACTTGCCAGTAGTAGCTCCACACCGACTTGAATGATTGAGCTCTGCTCAGTCGATAGAATTTGGAACCGATTTGGCCAGAGACATTAATTTTTATTTTTTTTTAAATGTGCTAAAACTTGCAATACTTTCAAGAAAAAGTAGCACACATCAATTCTGGATGAACTAAGTACATAGGTACTATATGCAAATTGCTACAACTATGTTTAATTTCAGGGTTATTTTTTTTTCAAATTTCTTCCTCACTTCCATGTGCTCAGGGAGAGCAGGGTCTGACAGGGAAGGGGAAGGCTGCCGAGAGAAAAGGCTGGGGGTGGGGGGAAGCAGAGAGCAAAGGGGCTACCTGACCTCCCACATTTATCTTCCCCGCTGCAGCAGTGAAAGGGGGACAAATTCAACACAAACCTCCAATAATTACATTCTATATCTGGAAAATTATAACAAATGTATACATTTTTAATATACAGAATCTATTTATTGGGGCAGTTGTCTTATCATCAGGGTCATCTTCTATTTGAATGAATATTGTAACTATCTGATGCACTACTCCCCAAGTATAAGATCAGGTATTACATTACACTAACTAAAATATGCTGTTTATTTGGAGCTAGCTCTACACAACACTGATATATGCCGTGTAGAGTAACTCCTTGACTTGTAACTAACCACATAGAGACAAATGGTGGAATAATTTGTAATGCAGTGTACAATTACACCTGTATTGCAGTGATGGTACTGGCTAGAAATATGAATCCAAGTTCTGGTATTGATTATCAACATCCACCTTTAACTGAGAGGTGAGATATCAAGAAAAATTACATTAAAGATATTTAAAATGTAGGATTAAAATGATTATAAGTGATTAAAATTAAAGCATAGAAGCACTTAATATGGAACCTAATAACTTGTGAAATGTTGTCTAGAGCACAGCAACATTTTGTACAGGTTGAGTAGAGGACATATGCAGTGATCTGAATGGAAACTAGTAGGACAGGCTACAGACGAGGGTTTAATAGTAAAAACAGGAAAGTTTTGTGGGTATATTGTAGAGACGTAGATATGAAGGAGCAGGATAATTAAAGGACAGAGAGCTAATAAACCAGGGAGTAGATGACTGTCACAAGTCAAAGAGAGGAGAATGTGGCACAAGGAGTTGGTAAAGAGAGGGGGAGCATTCTTACTGAGAGGAGTTACCCTCAGTGCCTGAATCTGGGGTAGATGCTAGTTGTCAGTTGAGGCTGTAATAGGGCATGATCTCAAACTTTTGAGATAAAACCATGGAGGCAGCCAAAAAGGATCAAATGAGGTGAGTTTTAAGCATGCTGAGTACAAGAGCATGCATTAAGCCTGAGGAAAATGAGCCAAATGAGGAGAGAAGGTTGAGATAAGGAATGATGCATGTGTACATTATTAATTACATAAGAAGAGCTGTCTCCAAATTGTCACACAATATTCAGTAGGGATTGTCGCAAATTGTTTGCAGGCTCTAGCCAACATCACAAACAGCACATCACTAATGAGCAGCACTATGATAAGAGGCTACTTGGATTTATCAGGAGAAAATACAAAATATTACACCTGACTTTTCAGGGCTGCTGCACTTACGTACGTGAAACAGAAAGGCAAGCTTTGCTAACCTTAGAGTGGTTTCTGCCATCTATTTCTGTAGAACTAGAGCAGGAGCCCAGATATGCCTATGCCTCAGTTCAAGTATAGAAAATGTAAATCTTTCTTCTAAATCTCACAAGAAGCAAGGATTTCTTAGTGTGATATCTTTTACTAGGCCACCTGCATAATTAGGATAGTGTTCGACAAGCTTTCAAATGCAAGATATTCTTCAGGCCTACAGAGAAAAGCCAGCACAGTGACAACTGATCCGAAGAAATTTCTGCCTCTCGCATAATTCCTGGACCATCGTGGCTGCATCGCACTAGCATGACTTTTAATGTGATTTGAAACCTTACAAATTCATAGGATGAAATTCTGGCCGAATGAAGTCAATGGCAAAACTTCCATTGACTTCAGAACGAGCAGAGATTTCACCCATGGTTTGTGTTAAATACCCTCTTCAATAACCCGTCAGTCACACTTGAAAATAAAGCTATTTGAAAATGCAAACTACTGAAGTCAGGGGAAGCTAAATTGCATCAAATGTATTGATCAATGATTTTGCCAAACAGCGTAATAGCACAGTTTTACATTGTCTGTGTTTCTTGAAGACAATGAACATTCCTCACAGCTGACTCAGAGATGCATTTAAATACATCTTGCTCTCTTTAGTTAAACATTAAGGGCTATATTCTCATCTGTGCGCTGACTTAATTCCCCAGACATTAAGATAAAAATATACCCATTAGAGCACAATCAAAACTTTCAAGCAAATATCAATAGGTACAGTGTGTACTTCACAAGGGGGTGAAGCAAAGATCATTTTAAAGATGTTCGAAATGGGCTTGCAAGGCACTCCACAGCTCACAAACTGGATACGCAAACCCTAAAGAACCAATTTAGAAATGGGCAGAATTTGGTTTTATGGAGTGAGTGTTTTTTAGGGCTCGCTGGCTTGACGACTATTTTGGTTACAAGTTAGGGAAGTACTTTCAAGTAAATGAAGAAGCTTTATCCGCAAAGCAGTCTCTCTCACATTCAGAACCCGATTTCTTAACAAATACTAGCCCAGACCCCTACTGTCTTTGGTAAATGCTGTAGGAGCTTTAATTATCAACTGATAATCAGCAGAACAGTCCCCACTTAAATATTCATCTTTGATGAATAGCACCTCTGGCAGTGTCATATTCTCCAGATGCTTCCCTGCAGCAAGAATATGGAGTATAAACCTGAATCCTACTGACAGCAAACTCTGTCCTGGATATAGCTATGAACTCAGCTATGCTTGCTTTCCCTTTATATTCTCCCCAGGGGGTTATCTCATTCCCTGTTTAGATCATCTTGACAATGCCTTGTAATATAACTGTGTGAGACAATTCTCTGGTTTAGATCAAGATCTGTTAGTTGTGACCCTCTAATTAATATCACTTGCGATCTCGGGTTAGATTTTAAGTGCTGGTCAAAAACTCTTACTCTTCACAACTCAGCATGTAGTTTTGAACGTTTGTGGGTGTGGACGAGGCGGGTAAAGCAGCCAGGGATAACATGGTTGTCAAAATCAGCTGCACATACAACACACT